TAAGGAAATCGCTACATGAGAAATCGAGTGAATATCCAATGTTGTAAAAATTTGAATTTCAAACGCTCATAATAATTGAATTTGACTTTCTTATAGACATTTTTTTTTTGATAAAGGTAGATAATTTTATAAGGAATCTTGTATTACATTTTCAAATCTTAGATTTAAAAAAAAAAGTTTTTACGAATTCTTAACTCAAAATAATTTGCTAATTTTAGTGATTTTTCCATATTTTGTCAATTTTTGAACTTTAAATTGACGCGGACACAATGATTGCTTCAAGGTTGATCGTGGTCCGGTCGAAGTGTTTGGTTAGGATTGAGGTGATGAAAAAAACACAACCCAAACACTTTAAGCAGGGGCGTACTCAAGGGGGGGGGTTCGTGGGGTTTGAACCCCTCCCATGACCTTACTAACCGATGCACTTTTGTGCGTTCTTGTTTATACATAATATAATTCACAGGAGCAATTTTCTAAAAAGAAAAATTTTTAAGAAGGGAAAAAATAAACAAATATATTTATTTTCAATTTTATGTCAACATGCATTATACAACGATTACAAGCATTATCTGTTAAGAGGACGCTACACCCGCATGTGTTGTCTCCGTCTTACAAACGCGTAACATAGCAAATTACGTCCACGGAAAACAAACGAATCGGCATCAAAAAGTGGTTTTAGAGTAAAAATACCTATAATAAAACTTAAAGAGAACAATATTTTGGAGGGAACCTCATCGGCGTTTTTAAAAATATTAACTATTAAAAAAGTTGTGGTTATTTAAAAAAAAGAGTTTTTGTGCCTTTAATATCTAGCTGTGTATTTAGATTAATACAAAACCCCGATGAGGTTCCCTCCGAAATATTGTTCTCTTTAAGTTTTATTATAGGTATTTTTACTCTAAAACCACTTTTTGATGCCGATTCGTTTGTTTTCCGTGGACGTAATTTGCTATGTTACGCGTTTGTAAGACGGAGACAACACATGCGGGTGTGGCGTCCTCTTAAGAACTGTATTATGATAACCAGATAAAATTTAAATCAAACATACAAGGTATATTGATAAGTTGTCGTCACTCTGGACCCCTATACGTATACACTCTTGATTGAAAATATTACCACAGTTCTATAGTCACCAGAGCGCGTTTCTTGTCCTACGAAGGCCTGTATATTCATTCTGTTAAATGCAAAATGTCTTAAAACTTCAGAATTAAAATGCTAATATTTTTTTAAAATTGAAGTCAGTATTTACAAAAACATTGAATCATAAAAGTTTTTTTTTTTAATTGAGTTGGTATAATAAATTTGGAGCCTGTAATTATACATTACATTTGCATTTTATTCATTGGCAATATTTTTATCGAGTAGACATCAATTAGAAAAAAATATTATGTATAATTTAGTCACTTCTTTGGATATTTGCATCCTTCTTAAAATCTTTAAATTAAATTAAAACTATTATGATTCTACTTCTAATTCTAATAGTAGTCTGGTAGAGTGGAGTATTATTTTCTAGTGCTCATAAAAAACTAAAAACATGTTTAAAATATTTTGCATATTTTATTTTATGATTAGGTATATTATTTATATTATAATATTATTCAATAATAGTTATCTTATAAACTTCAAACTAATTTTGAAAAATTGTTTAGTTTTTTTGGTGTTTCCTTGTTTTTAGCACCTTGCTCATTTTTTTCTTTTGTAAGTGAATATCATTCTTGTTATGACATTATGCGTTATGATATATTTGGTTAATATTTGACTGTGTATTGAGCAACCAACCTTTGTCAAAAAATTTGTTTATATATTTCTTCAATAAATATAAATTATGTTAGAAAAATAAACAGTGAAAAATTTATATGTAGTTTTCAAATTGAAATGCAACATTAAAAACATGATCTTTTACCGGGACAGCTAGTTATATTTATTATATTTAGATATTTTACACTATAATCTAGTACAGTATTTCTCAATTTTTTTTGTCGTGAGGCTCCCTAAATTTAATGTAAAACTGTCAAGGCCCCCTTATTCAAAATTATTAATTGTTTTTTCTAAATTAGGTATATACTAAAATTACTTGTACTATTTCACACAGATAATTATTAAAATGTATAGTAATTTAATATACTTTTGAAAAATTTATTCTTTTTCCATAAACGCTTAAAGTCAAAAAATAAAAATAAAAATAAAATAATAACATTTTTTACTAGTGTGCCTGGAAGTTCTAAGTACATTGAACCCTACAATAATCTTAAAAGAAAACATGAACACATTAATCAATCGGAATCGGAATATTGTTCTTTAAATAAACATTTTTCATTTTTGAAATTTATTTTCTGTAGAGTACATTACCATGTTTATATTTAATATTTTTAAAAAGGAAGTGACAAAGTCCCCGTGATAAAAAACAAAATGTTCAACCCCCCCCCATTGAAAATTCCTGAGTACGCCCCTGACTTTAAGAATGTCACAAATTATGTATTATAATATTGTGACAAAAATATAATAATACATGACGTGCCGCTCGGGTAGATGAGTTTAACGTGGGACGATCCGATGGTGGATCTCGAATCGCCTTTTCCGCCGACCGTTGTACGTCTTACGCGAGTACGCGACACAGTCCCCCCGTCCCGCCTTGCCATTACCGGCTCGGTGGGAGAGTCAACCCGGTCGCGCTGCTTGCATCCCGTGGTGGTGGTTGGAGATAAGATAGACTGGTCGCTATAGTGCTTGTACATTGTACTTGCTACTAACGCGGGCCGCGTCAAAATGCTTATAAAAAAAAATTGTGACTAAGGAATTTTAATATTTTTCATCTGCCTTTGAAACAATCTACTAGGAGCCTTCTATTAAATTTTCAAGCTTTCGCAACCAACAAATAACATTTTATTGATATTTTTAGAAAAAATACTAAAACAAATGGAAAATGAAAATGTCCCTAAACAGTTCAAAATAAATCAAAATGTTTTGAAAATGTTAACGTGTATAGAAAATGCAAATATAAACAACCAGTGAAAATTTCATGTATATACGTTCATTTATTTTAAAGTTATACCAAAAACCAAAATCGATTTTTTGGAAAACCGATTTTGGGTAAAAATTCCAGTTTTTCCTTAATTTTTATGTTGTTTTTCCCGGCGCTTGTGAAAACTACTGGGAAATTTTTATTTTTGACCCCCCAAAGTACCAACTAGATTCACTTTCCTATCAGAAAAGTTACTGTTGAAGAAAATCCAAGCACTTTTACTGTCCTAAAACGTGATGACAGACACAAAAAAAATTAAAAAATTAAAAAAAAAACACACATCATTGTAAATTCAATACATTCATCGTTTCACTCAGAATCTAAAATGTATAATCGCAAGACACTCATAAGTCATTACTTAAATTATTGACTTTTTTTGTAAATAAATCAAAAATCACATTTTTTTTGTTTAAACAATATGGATTTTATGTATTAATAAAAGATAAAATGTAAGCCGAGAGTAGATGCCTATAGGAATATATTTTAGGTCCACAATTACAAAATATCATATGACCAGGCATACCCGGTATCCAACCTCCAAGTCGTATGTGCAGTGAACTGATTATTTTTTCCAGGCACTCCTTTATAAAACAATTAGTGTTTGTAAACACAGACACAAATTATACTATAGTCAGAGTAGGGCATTATTCAAAAATATTTTTTGTAATGATTTAATTTTTTTTTTTAAATTGTATTCAATTATTTTTGTTTTATTAACCTGTTTGAAAATTATCCAAATTATTCATGTTTATTTGAATAATAATTTAGATACAAATTTGCCTGACTATAGCATAAATTAAAATAAAAGATTACTTTTAAAAAATTATTTTTACATAATAAATTTATTAAAACATAAATAAGTAGTAGAATTGAGTGTAGTTGAGAGGACATAATAAACTCAATGATGGTTATAAAACAACAAGAGAATAATAATATTATATCATAATATCTAATACAATTATTCTGATAGTTTAAATTACTATGATAAATATTAAATTGTAAGCTTTTAATAATATTTAATTGAATACAAACATACCTAATTTTTTTATGAAGGAAACTATATATTAATACATAAAATAATAGAAATTAATCAATTATAATTAAAGAATATATTACATGCATTATAATATTTTTTAAATACAATATTGTTTTAGAAATAACTCAGATGTAAAAATAAAAATGGTACACTTTAAGAAAAAAAATAATTAAGTAACGCAAGGATGGATTTGATAACAGATTTTTGGAATTTTTTAATTAGAAAATATTGTTTTAAATTATGAAAATTTCTGATAAAATTAGATAGGATTTGTATAAACTAATATTGATTTATCAAGTTTTGAATAATGAATTATCAACAAATATAATTAAAATTAAATTTAGACTAGTAAAACTAATTGATATCTTGTAAAGATTGTTAGTTATGTTGTTAACAGTTTTATGTAAAATTAAATCTAGTATGAAAACATGAATAATAAGTACACGGGTAAAAATGTCCACATCAAAATAAAGTTGTGATTTTTAAAAATTAAAAAATAGTATTTAAAGAACCGGGAACTTTTTTTTTTAATCTTGAACAGTCTTGGTAAATGGTGATTATGTTAAGGATAAACATAAAAATAAAAATAATTTAATATACAATATCCATTTCCTTAACGTTAATGGCAACAAATTAAAAATGAATAGTAATTGTTTTGTATAAATTATGTAGGAACGATTCTATATGGTAAATGAAACAATAGTATATACCTAGTAAACTGCAATTTCTAATTAAATTATACTAGGTTACTATTAATATTAGTTAACTAAATCTCTGGCTAAAATAAAATTAAGTTAAATTGTATAAATACTGTAAGTTTAGCATACATTTTAGATAAACCACTTACATTTTGTATCAGTTGTAAAATTTAAATGTAATTGGTATTATATTTCTACTTAAATAATAATTTACTTATTGCGATACTCTTTTTCTTTTTAAATATTATTTCCATTGTTCTAAAAATTTTAAATGAAAATCTTTGAAATTGTCCAACATATTTTTCAATTTATCTGGCTGAGGAAGGATTGTAGTTCTGAAAAAAAATGTATAGAATTAATATATTAAAGATACATGTACTTTAAAAATCTAGAACTAATCTAACTAATCATTATAGTTAAATATGTATTTAAATCAATTTTTAAGTTATAATAGCTGATTTTTCAAGCTTTGTGTGTGTTGGCCTGAATTGTTTTTTACTTTATAATAAAAAGGTTTCATCAATCAATCATAATTGTTTGTCAGAAGGATAAATTTCTTGTTTTATTAATAATATATTAGATATTTAATGAAGAGACAGTAAAACTATTTGAGTTCATAAAAATATTTATAAAGAAAAAAAATATATATAATATTGGATTTATCTTCAGTAAAGACTAGTTTGCCCAAATAAAATGTATAACTATTCTTTAGTTTTATTTGAATGATGTATAATAATAATAATAATAATAACAATACATCACATTTTAACTGAGGTAATTTTATAAATGTATTATTATAATATTTACCTAAAATGATAAGTTCCTTCAACTTGTCCAAATCCAGATCCAGGTACAATACAGATACCAGTATTTTCCAGAAGTTGAAACGCATAAAATGCATTGGGTTCAATTCCTTGATTTGTTGCTTCTTTAATTGCTCTTTCAGGTAACTTGAACTATAAATGCAAATAATATTTATACTTGTTCAATAAGCATTAAAAAATTAAGATAACATACTTGTGGAAACGCATACATTGCGCCTTGTACTGGATTGCAAGACATCCCAGGAATACTGTTAAATGTATCGGCCACCAATTTAGCTCTTTCTGCTAAAGATTTTAATACACTATTTTTTTCTTCTTGAAAACTCTCATACGATGGTTCACCTGGTTGTGGAGGATTTACAACACAGTCCATCACAGTCTATTTGAACAATAAAAAATAAAATAAAATAATAATGACTATAAACATATTTCAACAATCTATTACTTGGCCAAGAACTGTAGGACATAACATAGCTGACACAGATTTGAGTAACATTGCTTTAACTTCCGGATCCAAATTAATCACTTCTGTGTAACCACCTCTTAGACCACATTCTCCCATATAACCTAACATAATTTGTTTGTTTTACGGTAATATTACTATATAGTCTTCATTACTATAGTATTAAATTACCTTTAGAACAAGACATAAATGATGCCAATTCCATTTCACTATAAGGAGATCCTAATTCAGTTAACACTTTTTTAAATGAATAAAATGTACTTCCTTCCGCGTACACATTGTCTTGATATACCTAGGTATTAAAAAAAAAATTAGTTAATACAACAAAAAATAAAAGACCTGTATTTAAAAAAAACATAAATATATGTATAAAATAAACAATATACCTATTAGCATATAGTGTATATATATATTATATATTATAATTTATATTACCTCATCAGCAAGTAAGAACAATTTTTCTTTATATGCAAATTTAATAACATCCACCACATTTTCTTTGGTTAGTACTTGGCCTAAACAATTCAAATATGCTAACTATAAAATAGATAATTACAGTATTTTTAAGTATAAAATAAAACTACAGAAATTAGACAGTGAAAGTAAAAAAAAATAAAAATTAGTTGTACTTAAAGTTTGAAGGATTTAGAATAAGTAAAAAATAAATACAATAATAATTTTGTTCACTTGATTACAATCCATGTCACTATATACAAATTTTAGTGCATTCTAGTTGTCTAGCATTTTCAATAAGTAAAATCCCACATTTCTTACCTGTCTATCTAAATAATCTAAGAGACAAAAACTCAATAACTACAATTGTGCCACCAAATGGGTTTAAAATTCACAATGGTAATTTAAGATAAATGTACCCACCTGATTAATTTGCAATACTCTTTGAATTTAAATATTATCAATTATTATAAATAACATTAGAATTTATCACCACAACTGAAATTAAATAATTATAAATAATAAGTAATATGTAATAACAAACCAGTTGGATTGCCGGGATTAATAACCACAATAGCTCTAGGGTTACAATGTTTGCGTGCTTCAGTTATTGATCGTTCTAATTCATTCACATCCAAACCCCAATTTTTATTTTCATCTAAAAAGTATCCAACCTAATAAAAACAACCCAAATAAACTTTATAATGGTTAAAAAATACTAATTACCAATTACATTTTTATAGTAATAATTATAAGATTTTTAGGCCAAATAATAGAAAAATTTTATGTTTTTGTAAATTTTTGTACACATAATTAGTTTATATAAGTACAAATATTTTCATTATAGAATTATAATTTCTTATGACTTTACATAGAACTACATACAGGGTGATTCACTAAACATGCTCATTTGCATTTGTCCTTAAAATAATGAATTAATTCAAATTCTGATTTTAGGAATTTTTATATATACTTTTAAGTCTATTTTTCCAAATTATTGAATTTGGTTTTACTAATTATGTATTTTACTGTGACGATACAAACTTCTGTTTTTCAAATAAGAACTGTTCAATTTACTGTAAATTATTTTAAACATTTTGATTTACATAATTCAAAATTTGAACGAGTAGTTTCTCAGTTGTTAAAATGATTCTGCTAAGTATAAGAGTCCTTAAAAATTGTTTTACATAGATTTAAAGTAGATGTAATAACTATCGAATCTAGTATTTATTATAGGTAGTTGGACCATTTTTAAAAATTATTAATGTTGATATTAAACACTAAAATTTTCAAATCACCATAGCTCCCATATTATCTAAACCGCCATTATCCTTAGTACACAAAGTTAAATAACTCAAAAACTACTTGAACAATTCTGATTCTGATTAGCCAACATTTTCAATAATTTACAGTAAAAAGGGGGGGGGGGGGGGTTGTCTAACTGACATTAATGAAAATTATCTTGTGGCACTGAGATATGGCACAACATGGTTGGCCATTTACAAATGTTCTGCTGTTTATATTTTATCTATATTATGAACGCGACAGATAATAAAATGATAACATTTTATTGGTATTTACTATATATATTTATCTTAACCTTTATTCAATTAAAAATCGAATGGTTGAAGACACCTGTAACCTTTAAGTAAATATCATAATAATTAAGTTATTACACTAACCTGTTTTACATTAAACTCTGCTAATGTAGCAGAGTATAATGGGTATTGTGGAATAGGAATTAATACACCAGGTTTTTTTCCATCAATATCGGCAACCAATAATCGTAGAATAGCCTAAAACAATCAATGGTTTATTAATAATTAAAGGTAACTTTTTACTAAATATTGCTTGTATGTTATACATCACTAATAATGTAGTCACTTAACAATAAGAACTTCACATTCAACACAAATAACTCATTAAAGTAGAAGAATAGTAAAAATATAATTTAATTTTAAATTTTAAAATTGAAATTAATATAAACCTAACTACCATTTTAGTTAAACTTTGTGTATATGTATACTAAATATTTAAATATGAATACAAACTTTTATTCCATCTGATGCACCAGCACACAAAAGGACATTTAAATAATCACACGGAATACCATCTCGACGTTCAATATATTGGGCAACATGTTTTCTTATTACTTCTATTCCTGGAGAATCAGTATAGGACCCTATAATAAAAAACAACATAATAATTATTAGTTAGTAATAAATTAACAGGTATATCATACAAATATAAATAGCTTCTTTGATATTTTATTATTATCAAAAAAAATATCCATTCAAAATTTTAATGCTGGTATATATTTGAACAAAAAATGTATTACATTTCAGAAGAGCATTCTCAGCATTCCGTGTTATTTTACTATACAATTTTCAATGATAATAAATAAGATATTACATATAATATGGCATAACTCTTAACATGTAGGTAATATTGTACCTTGTATTCTATTTTGTTTATAATTAATCAAATGTTTATTATTATTATCAATTCATTTATCATTATCTTTAGTATTACGCTATTGTTTTCCTCACTAGTATATACACTTCTTTTTTTTTAGAGACTCGTCTATCAAAACAAGGATATTTATCTTAAGTGATGGACGATGCAATATAATCACAAAATATGTAATTAATTTTCATTGTAAATATGAATACTGCTAAATGAAATTAAAAAAAAAAAAAAAGAAAAGAAAAGAAATTATTGATTCAATATGCATACATAATTTGTTTTCAGATTATATTAAATTGAAAATATGAGTTCAAATTAATTACCTTTTAAAAATGTTCAGTAAAAAAAAATGGTAAGGTTCAATAGTTGTTTTATAACCTTGGAATTTTAGAGTATTGCAGCTGTACAATGTATTTGTAAAGCAATTTATAATAATATTATGAATAAATGTTTTATTACTCAACAATAGTAATTTTATAAAATAATCTAAGATGGTGTACACTAATTCAATTTGACAAGCTCAAGGACTTATATATTAATTTAATTAGTACAAATACAAATTGAAGTACATCCTCAGTACAGAATATTGTTATAATAGAACACGTGTTTCTTAAACTCAAATGATTAACTAGGTAGTCAGATAATAAACGTTATGTTATTAATAATTTATAAAATATGATGATAATATAATTATAGTATTTAATTTCTAAATAGTAAATATAGATAATTATTGAAATATTTTGAATTAAATTACCAACACTACCACCACGACATCCATCTAATATAGTTCTTGCACGTTTTTTAACATCTTCAGGATATCGATCATCATCCAACAGTTCTGGTTGAGATACCAAAGCTAAAACCTTAACAAAATTAGATAGGTAATTAATAAATATAAAAATATTTGTTTTGTTAATAGATATAATATTTTATATGTGTGCAAGAGATTATAAGATCTACTAGTGATATTTGAGGCTTGAACATTCCTCAAACTAATGTAAGGCATGTTTAAATATCAAGGAAATATTTGATGATTTCAAATGTATTTCTATCTATTATTTTGAATACATTTCTTAAGATTTAGAAAATGATACTTATGAGTTAATGAAGATTTAAATTGGGTGGTTGAATTTCCAACCATAAATACAATATCAAAAAAACAGTAATATGGACAGTATTATGCACAAGAAAGAAATATGCTTAGTAAGGTCAGAATTAATTAAAATTTATACATTTTAAAGAATTCAGTTTTTAAAACAATACTACTTAATTTTACTCGTTTTAAATATTCAAATAATATTGTCTTCTTATTTTTTGTATAAAATAATAAATATATATATTTTATAGATTACAAAAAGAAAGTACCTCTAACAGATTTAAGAGTTATATACCTCATAAAATTTGCATAAGTTTATTTGTGTTAATTTTGTTTTGAAGTGCAAAATGGATCACTACCTTACTTAAATATATTCTCTTCAAAACCTGAATAGGGAGTCTTGTTGGTACTTGCTACAAATTACTGTTAAATCTGCCATTGAATAAGGAAAGAATATAACTGTACCTGGCGTATGAATGTAATTGGCTTTTGTCCCATTGCATGGCAATCACCAATATTTGCTTTAAGCACTTCTTTAAAAGGTTTTTCAACACCCTAAAATTGAATATTATTAAGAACATTAAAAAATAAAAATAAAATAAAAATATACAAACCTTTTTTAATTCATTTTCAATTTCTGTAGCTCTTATCAGTAACGGTCCTCGAACAGCGTATTCCATTATCCTTACGTTTGGGTTCATATTGTCTAAATTTAAAACCTTTTGATTCGACGACATATTTTGGCCGGTGGAAAAGTTCTTTGAATTCACAGACAACCTCAAAAATTGGGAAAATTCTAATTGTGACTTGACATAACGGCATACATTGTAATTTGCCGAACATCTGACAAATTTATTTAGCCTTTGCAGTGACATATTTAATTTTTGATTTAAAACAACGAGCACAATTTATTAGTTTTCAAATAATCAAGTAAAACAATAGACACTAAGACTGTTTTGTAATGTTGTGCATGGAACGAAACGTAACAATTAACGTTTAATGTATAAGTAAAGGCAAGAGACTGATTAGAATAATTAGGTATTCGTTTTGTATTAAGATAAAAACAATTATACAGTTCGAACGTAATCTATTGAGTAACGGCCAAGTGTTATCGAAAAGAAATTGGACTCGGCACAACAAAAGTACAACTTTGATCGACCTTAATAAAATTGAATCACTATATTATACTTGGCTCTTAAATTTTCCGTAAATATGTCAATAAAATTTATTAAAATGTTTATATGAGAAAAAAAACTATATATATATTTATTTGTTTTCTTACCTATATTATGAATTATGATACGATACAATATTTAGGTATATTATAATGGTATAAGTTTTATATTTTATAAGCTTAATTTATAAATGTAGCTGATGATAAGACATTAAGACGTCCGTGTTACTTTCACTTTTTAAATTTAAATGTTGTTATTATTATTATTATTATTATACTAGAAAAGTCATTAGGTAGTTTACCGTAAACCAGTATTGCCTAAACGGTGGCACTAAAGTACGGTACCTAAAATAATATTATAGTACAACCACTATATTATAATAAATACGCGACCGAACTCACTAGTCACTATAGGGCGTAGACTTTCCCGAGAGTCAAGAGTTTTTTTGATCGTTTTGACAGTTGACACTTGACCGAGTGAGGAGCGATGGTCTGATAAGATATATATCGTTCGAGTAAATTGAGTATTTTGTCATATAATTTGTCGGGAACCCTACGCTATGCGGTGTAGTGGGGGATGCGTGGTTGTCGGAGAAATCATTAGAGCCTGGCAAGTCGTTATATCCATATATTTTATGCCCGTTGACCTATATTATGCCATAATATATTGCGCACAGTTGTGTAGTTGCGCAGATACGTGCTGAAATACATTCGACTCGTTCGTTCGAGAACAACACAATATTCTACGTTGTACGTTCGGCTTTGGTCTATAAAGATAGTTCAGCCTTTCAGGTTGCCATGCCATTCGATTTCATTGTAAATTCCAATAATTACATGTAATAAGTAATAACTAATAACTAGGACTCGAATTTAAAAGCTCAAAAATATCAAAAATATGCATTTATGAACTGAAAACTCTAAAAAATGCCCTAAAAATACCAAAATATGTAATTAACATGCACATTTGTATTACACTGTATTACTCCGGTAAAAGATGTATGCGATTAAATCGGCTAATTAGTTTAGTTGGTGAGATATTATAAAGATAAATGTCACCCTTTTTTAATAATTTAAAACCAGATTATCTGATGTCACTATGTTTATATTTCAATTAAGTCATTTTTTTTTTTTTAGTCATAATAGGAGATATAGATTAACATGTCTCAAAAAATTAAAAGACGCATTCAAAACATCAAAAATCCAAAAAAGTTGCAAATAATGCACCAAAAAAATATTGTTATTACAACATGGAGTACTTGAGTCTTGAAGCACATATGTAGCTTGGAAAGCATCGTGTAAGCCATTCCAAAAAAAAGATGCAAATGCAATGAATACCAATACCGATCCCTACTAATTTCTTACATAGACCATAGACCATAGTACACAAACACCCGAACACGAGTAATTACTAATTAGTAATAACTAATAACAATGCGGTGGCAAGTTGACCAAAACAATTAAAAATTAAATAATATAGGTAATATTATGATCGTGGTGTAGTCTGCACGATGGTGTAGGATACTAGGATGTAGGTAGGTAGTGTATATTTATAAAGGATATTTTTCATCTGTTGGACGCCACTCGCTAACAGTCGATTGCGACTTTAATATACTTTTCTTGTCTGACTCCCACAGTCCCACACAGACTATGACATAGTTAAACATATAATATGTTTTTCATTCTATTGCGTTATTGTCGGTGTTATACATTTATACATGCAATATATTTCACTATATTCGTATCCTCATTATTATTATTTTTATACACTCTTTTGAATGAATGAATGATAAATAATAATTATAATTGAAAACTTCAAAAACTCCATGACATAATCAATAAATACCTACAATACAGGGTTTATACTCCCTGTTAAATATTTAATATAAAACTTGATAGTTGATATAGAGTATTATAGACATTAGAATATTAGATATTTGTTTATATATCCAGGGTCGTCCTGACGATTTGCGGGGCCCAGGACAGAGTAAAATTGAGGGGCCTAAGACGTCATTATCGTTAGTTGGCAGTTGCATATATTTAATATTATGATACCTATATACCTAGGTAGTAGGTATAAGGGGCAGTCCTGTAAAGTATTTGAGTAAAAGTATTCAAATACTTTTTTAAGTATTGAATAACTTTTTTAATACTTTCAGCATGAAGTATTTTGAATGGTATTTTAAATACTTTTTTTTTTGGTATTGAATACTTTGGTTTTTTATTTCGAACATTTTATTTTTATTCGAAATAATTTTAGAAATTTTAGAATGAATTAAGAACACAAAATAGGTAGTATCACCAATGGGTGGTTTCTTCCCTCAAAAAAAAATCATACGCAAATACCCTATGCACATTTGCTTATTGTTCTAGTTAAGAACAGATTGTAAATTTCATGTATAAAAAAAAAAAAATATGTAATAAATATTTATTTAATAAATAATAAATAAAAATGATTATAATTTTACTACCTATGTGTCTATATTACAATAATTAGAAACCCACTTTAAAAACCAAAAGTATTTGAAAAGTATTCCAAATACTTTTTTAAAGTATTTGAGTAGTATTTGAAATACTATACAATTAAAGTATTTGAGTAGTATCTTAAATACTTAAAAAAAAATGTATTTGAGTACTTACTCAAGTACTTTTCAAAAGTATTCTTTACAGGACTGATAAGGGGACAACGCACAAATATACTTAAAAATATAGAAGGTACCTTGTACTCACAACAATATGAATAAGTAAATAAATAAATAACAAAACACGTCATATATTTAAACTTAATATAATAATTTTGATAAATTAATAAGTCTATAAAAGTATATATTAGGTACCTAATACAATATAAAAAAAGGTGGACAAGTGGGCACAGAGTAGGTACCCTCTGTTGTAGGTGTCAGTGGTGTCACGCATATCGTTGTAATGGATGTGTTATGTTTGAATTACATTGATAAATCATTGTGTACGAACAAATATTCTGAGCGAAAACGTTGTATCAGCGTAGCATATTTGTATAAATAATCAAATTTAATGGTTAGAAAAAAAATTAACAAAGATCGAAAATATCTCTCTGCTATCTATATTGACTTTCCGGTGAACTTTTTTAGTTTGTTCAAGGTACAAAAACTTGTTTGAAACCTTCTATTAAAATATTTATAATCTTAGACATGAAAAGAAAAACTTTTCTAACTTTGAAATAATTTACATTTTAGAAATTTCTTATGTCTATAAATAGCTCAAAAAGAGTCAAAATTGTTTGAAAATATTACCATGTATGGATTGTAATACGGAAATAATGGTCATTTTAACATTTGGAGAAAATTTAAAGTGTCTACGGTTTATGTTTTCGAATTACAACAAAATATCATACATTTAAGGATACAAATTCGTTAATTTACCAAAGAAAATTAACCTTCCAATATAATAGCTAACTAATACAGTTGGTGCTTTTTTTTGGGCTGCATGCCAAAAAAAAAATGTCTAAATTGCATGCCATCTCTTGGATGGGTCTGTGTCTGTCCGAATTGCATGCTTTGAACCACATGTTTATTTATTATGCACTTAAACAACTTAAACTTTTTTTGGACTTTCCTAATTTAAAAAAAAAATGCATGTATAGAAATGCTATTTTATCTAGGATTGTTACAATTGATTAGTTTCTAGATTGAAATGTTTTTATATCCAAGTAAATATTTTCCCAAACTGTATGTATATTGGAGTAATGTAGTGTATTGTAGTCTGTTTCATAGACATAAACATACGCTTATCGGTCACTTAAGTGTTTATAGCTGTCAAATTTATAAGCTTTTATAATTTATAAGTTATTATAATATTATTACCTACTATTATTATTATTGTTTTTTTAATTTATTATTATTAGGTATTATTATTATTATATTGTAACGTAATTTTTCATTGTAATTAGGCCCCTGAATAATTTTAAACTATTTTCCCTTTAATATTAACCGTTTTATAAAATGCTATTACTACTTAATTATTCAAAAAAATATGTTTCTGGTTTTAGTATTATTAATATATATTTTTCATATTGACATATTTTATTATTATGAACTATTATTATATAATATATATATTATATATTATTTATTATATATTGTATATTTAAATTGTAATATTGTGTGCTTGAAATGTCAAAAAAAAAACCACCAAATTTTAAAACAATATTATTTATTTGAAATACTATGTAAACATGTAAAATACATTCACTTGATTACCCTAAACTACAATAGTTTTATTTAACTAATGGCCTTTGTTGTTGATGAAAAATAGTTTTATTTAATATTTATTATTATTATTTATTAGTGTCACCTTCTACAATTTATATATTTTATTGTAATGTAACAAAATACCGTTCCTCCAGTGGAAAAGTAAGTTATTTAGTCATTTTATTCGGACATACCCGTCTAAGAGATGGCATGCAATTCGGAGAAACCCCTCCACGAGACGGGATGCAATTCGGACAGATCCCCCCAAAAGACGTCATGCAATTTGGACATTCCAATTTATATTTATTTTTTTTGGCATGCAATTTGGATGCACCGTTTTTTTGGGACAGAGCGCTTCAAAGATAGTTATTTTTATTATTTTCAACTTTGAAAATTGAATTTTAAACATATTAACTTGTTTGAAATGCGATACATTTATTTGACGTCAATTAATAAAAGTAGGTTTAGGTAGTAA